GGTTATCACCAAGTCAAGTTAGTGCTTTTGACCCAAAAACTACGTTCCCAAATCACATCCGCCAAGAATACGTACTGTTATATCACTAACAGCTCCAAGTCAGGTATTCTACTGTTTTCAGCACATGCTATTTTCAAATCTCTACCTTCTGTTACACGTGGATAACATCTGCTGATGTATAGCAACATGCTGTTATGAATATTGATAAGAGGGCATCGCATATAATAAGCATAAACACGTGCTTGCCAACTTATGTTGTGCTGTATTCATCCGATTGATTACCCGTAATTACTTTGATTTTTTTTCAAGCAGTATGGAGTTTATATTATTCAGTGACATTCTTCTTCTGTAACGCGAACTGAAAAAGTAACAATTTTTTGAAGTATTTCATTTAATTCCAGTAATATGTTAAATTCGCTTACACACGAGCAACAATCATGTTTTGAATTTTCAACAAAGGAATTAGTTTTTTTAATGTTTCCGGTAGGTTGAATGGTTTACGGGTGCAAATTTTAAGAAAAGGCATTCAAAAGACAAAAAAGTCAACAATTTGATTTGCAAGCACTTTTAACAGCTAAGTTAAACAGCGCCTAACATTTCACAGAAAAAAATCGATACCTCAGACTATGTCAATTGTGCAATGAACACTGCCGGCTAAAATTAAGTTTTTCTAAAATAACAATCGGACTTCGAAAAGGAGACCTTTATTGAACCAGCGAGAGCCATAATACTCTGTCAGTAAACCTCAGACTTCGACTATTTTATTACAGGTTTTTTCTCCCTAAACACGGAAGCCATTAATTGCGAGATAGAGGAATCCATCACTTATCTCTCTATGCAAACTTGTTTCGGTTTTCATTTCGCCCACCTGGAAAAAGCAAGGTTACGCACCCTTCGCTGCACTGTTTACAACAAGGCGGAGGGCGGTTTACAGCTGTTCTTGTGTTCACAAGGTGGACGAGACCAACCATCATGTAATCGATAACATTGACGCGACCGCCAGACCAGAACGGAAGATATTACTCATGTCAGTTTTTCCTTGTCACAGGCGTGTTTTCGTATCTTTTGATATTAATTTCATCAGTTAATTTTATTTCTTATTTATAACATTATTTACCTATTTATTTATCTATCCATTCATTTAGTTAGTTAGTTAGTTAGTTAGTTATATTCTCCAGGCGTTAAACGTTTAAAAGATACATAGAAAGCTGTGAACATAGTGAACTTTGGGTCGGGTTTTTGGGGTTACAAAAATCTCTCACTAGAACTGGGTATTCTATTCCATTCTGTTTTCCGACACGGATAAACTAGTTTTCTCTTCATCGATTTCGTCAAGTGTACTCAACGCTAAATTTAAAAACGAGCAAATGTATGAGTTTCGCGGCAAACGACCGAACAAAAAAGGGAAGCTCATCAGAACCAAGACCCCAGGCTCTCTGAGAACATGAAGAAGAGAGACCCTGGTGATAAGGACGAGTATGCATTGTAGAAGCTTGGTGCCAAAAAAAAAGAACCGAAGAAAACAAAAGAAACACTTCGCTTTTCTAAACCACCTTGTATTTTTTCTAATTATAGCTTATTATGTAAATAGCCGTCTGAATTCTAGTTTGAATTATACCGTTAGAATTTAGTGATTTGCACACGTCAAATCGTGTTGAGGTACTAAATACTTGTATGCGCATAATTTCGAGAAGGTTGTCTCTCTACTTCACGGCCCGGATTCCCGAAACGCTCGTTCTATGTGATAA